AAGAGCCCTCTATAACAATATCGTGCATATTCATTACCGTGATTTATCGCATTACCGAATACCGGCACATGTCTAATAATCAGTTACAATACATTTTTGTTTTTTTTTTTGTGTAAAGGAAAATTTTCTGTAATTGACCCGGAGTTTGAGTTATTAATTTGTAGCTGATAAATGTGACTTGTTGCTTCCCAATTGTTAGCTGAAACTGTATAAATAATATTCTGAAATTTTCTAGTTTTATCGAGGTAGTTTTTCAGCTGTTTTTAAGCTTTCATGTCTTTGTCATCTGAGCCACCCCTGCATCATAATCATGTTTTGGTATGTTCCAATTCCAGGGGTGACCTCAGGCCTGTAAAGTCTAGTATTGTCATTCTGTCAGGGGAGCTTGGGGTGAAAGGACATAAGTCTGTCCTTGCTCTAATATACTGACTTGTGTTAAGGTCAATTTCCGAATTGTTGTAATAGTTTGCTGTTATTATTATTATTAAATTTTTTTGACTCTCATGTCAATTTACTTTGTTTATTCAAAAGTGTTTTTTTAGGGCCCAAGCCCTGAAAGGGCGAAGGCCCTATTGTTTTTGTTAGGATTATTTATTAGGGCCCAAGCCCTAAAAGGGCGCAGAGCCCTATTGTTTTCCTTAGGATTATTTTTTTCTATTATTATTATTTTTCTTACGACTATTCGGGCACTTTTGGGGCCCTTAACATGCTCAAACTCTTGAAACTTTGCACACGGGTCAGAACCCGTGGCCATCAGGGCCAGGCTGAAGCTGGTACCCAGGCGTGGCGGGAGGCTCGACAGCGCCCACTGGAAAGGGGTTCGAAAACTTGGTCGATAAATCAAACATGCTTTCATGTAATAATATGAAACTCGGTACACATATAGATCTCATCGGTTCATATATACTTCATATTCTTACTTTTTACCCCAGCTCAACAGGAAGTCGGCTATTTAGGGTTGTTTGTAAAACACATGCAATGGAATTTAAAGTACTTCTCCTAGAGAATTCCAAGAAATGCCACAAAACTCATCAGTGTGAAGTCAAGATATTGAGGATGAAAAACTGCCAGGGGGGTTTTGATATCTCAAATGGTTTGGCCGTGGTGAGGAAACGAAATTATGGCGAAAAACGTTAAAGAGGAATTGTGTTATAACTTCTGCATACATTAACTGATCTTGATGAAACTTCAGCAGTGTTCGCTGTAAGAGGACGATCACATGGATGTGACTATTGTGAGTCAAAGTTATTGCGCCACCAACTGGCAGCAGGAAGTGTCACTTTCAAAATGCTTTGAAATTACCCTCTTATTTTTAACCGATTTGCTTCAAACTTCATCTGTATAATGTAAACATACGGCAGATGTAGACCTATGAATGGATTCATGATATCTTTGATACTGTTGCCATGGTAATGCATTAAACTTTACAATTATTTTAGGATGCTTTTGAGACTCTTAACATGCTTGAATTTGCATGAAACTCGTCAGACACATCACATTTATTAGCCAGTAGACATGTGCTAAGGGGTTAGATTGACCATTTCACTCCTGTGTGTTTGGCCTGCATGAAAGAAACTAAATGTCTTAAGCCTTGTATTTTTTTGTAAATAAGTTTTTTTTTAATAAGTAAAGGCATATAACCAGTTTAATTTTAGTACATTGACAATAGTTTTATATAATTAGTTTATTAATTAAATTAACTTGGTCCGAAAATTTGGTCAATAAATCAAACACACTTGCATGTAATAATATAAAACTCGGTACACGTATAGATCTCATTTGGCTATTTTGGTCTGAATGCGGATGTTTTGCAGAACCAGCCTACATTTTTACTCACTCCTCTTAAGTAGTTTATTTTATTCATGCCAAATTCTTTCAACTTGATAAATACAATAAGGATGCTAAATTGTTTACGGATATTGAATATCTCAAACAGTTTTGCTTTGGCAAGGGATTATGTAAAAAAAAAAAAGAATCAGGAAACGTCTCAAATCTTCTAAATTATACACTATTTATTTTTCTATAAAATTATACCATTATTAGAACTAAACCCATTTTATTCTTTTTTTTTTCAATTTAAGAATTATTTTTAAGTTTAAAAACAGCCAGAATGGTGTAGTCAAAAAAAAGTGCTATACTGCCCTCTTGTCTTCAAAATTGAAGCGTTTAAACTGATATATTACTTCAAATACTTCAATTCATTTTATTTATTTTATTTTATTTTTTTTATATATTAGGCCTATATTGTATTATATTCTAAGCCTAAATAAAGAATCGTATTGTTTAGGTTACATTAGGGTTATATTTTATTACATTATAAGGCTAAATAAAGAACCTCATAAGGGTATTGTTTAGGGCTCATTGTCATTAAAATGTTTGAAACCCCTTGCTAAAGAAAATATTGGAAATTCGTTAGCAATAAACAATCATTTAACTTTGATGTTTAATGCTTCCTGTACACAATTCATTGACTGTACAAAAACACTTTGTTTTCCCAAACCATCTCAGTGTAACAGCTTACTTTTCTTTCTTACTATATTCTTTATTGCAAAGAATTGAACTGTCCTGAAGAAGCTTTTGTAAATTATTTTTCATAGTATTTACTGGTAAAGACTGTACAGTTAACAGCACTGGAAAAAAAATATCAGATAACCTAAAATTTGCTTCATTTAGTGAATTCTTAATTAACTGCTTGTTTTTCACAAATATGATTTAATACCAATAAGTTACATCAAGGGTCAAATAAAATATAAATGGCACATTCAAGTTAAAAGTTACTACTGAATGTTGAGACCATTGTGTTTCTACGTATGCTGTACAGGTCAGGTATAAATAATATTTTTGCTCAGGTGGCGAAAAATGTCCGCCAAATAGAAAAAAGGTCAGCAAGAAAAAAAAATAAAAAATAGAGGGAATATTGAACTGTGTTCACGATCATTGGCCCTGTCCCAAATGGCACACTTCATATGAATTTTCAGCCTTGTGAGCTTATATAATGTGTCCGTTAGTGATCTGTTATAGTGATCTGACTCTACTCTAGTGGTGTGATCTAACCGACAGCGTCCGACACCCGGTAGAAAGTAACACGATTAAGTTACAGCAAAGTCCAGCAAGATAAAGTTTCTTTATTCGAAACCATAGACCTTTATCTACAGATCAAGAATAATAGTATTAACATTGAATCATCTTGAAGATAATTTCATCATTGACTGTAACCGAACGCGACGCTGTTTGAACGCTGAATGGAGAATGACTGACAGCCGCAGTGGAAGGAAAAGTTTACGTGATCTTGAATTTAATGACTTGAATATTAATTTCTATCACACATAATGGCTTCAGAACACTCATAACACAGTGCACAAAAACTTTATGGTACTTTAGAAAGTTTTTGTGCCTTTTGTGGGGCTCAACAATAACATAGAATAGTATTGGCACAATATCGGATTTGAATCAGCCTCGTCTAATCGATACCGATCCGGCAAAAATGGGAGTATCGGAACCGATACCGATCCTGAGTATCGGATCGGCGCATCCCTAACTACTATAGTGTAAACACACGTAGATCTAGACCTGGATGTACACCTGACCTTTCAGAAGGTTGCTCACGCATATTTTGTGGTTGATATGTGCCCTCGATGTGCACTTTTGCAGACCCCACACTGATACAAGCTCTTCAGCACACTTCTTTTCAACAGTCAAAGCAGTGTTACCTATATATATATATATATATATATATATATATATATATATATATAGCTGCGTGCAGCGATGAAGGGCCAAAGCCGGCGGTACCGCCACCCCTGTGCCTTTAGGTAACTAAAGGAACCGGAGTTGAGGTGCCACCGGCTTGGGCCTGTAATCGCTTTTTTTTTGTTAGTGTTTTTTTTTGTTGTTGTTTTTTTCGCTGCTCAGCTATATTTTTTGAGGGGGTTTTTGCCTTTCATTGGCCTTAATTGTGGATGATAAAAATCCCATCTATGCGAACACAATCCAACTTCTACTGAGTGCTTACATCTGCTCATGACGATTCATTCATGACCACCCTTAACATGCTTTACATTTAGCTGTCTTTCTTTCTTGTCTTTTCTTTCATAAACGATGCAGAAACGGTGGTAGAGTTAAGAAAATCACATGTAGAAAGAGGGAAAATATTGTTAAGAAGGCATTTACACCTTTCTGTTTCTGCGTATGGGGATATAAGTCACCCTGCCTTCTCCACTCTCTAATAACTAAGAATTATATCTAAGCTCAGAGACAGCCTTAAAAAAAATCTAAATTTTCTTTTGCATGTGTGCATGCATGTATTATTGCAATTTGTTGGTCAACAAGTGCAAGTGGGTCAGTGACAAAGTTCAAACACATGGTAAATTCTTAGAAAAGTAATCTGAAATTGAATGTATTCATCTTGATTTGAAAATAAATACACTACTTTTCTAGAAATGACTTGTCAAGTCAAGTCAAGTGGTGTAATATTTCCTTGTACAATCAGATAAATTCAGGGTATAATTCTGAATTATTACTAAAAAGGTATTACTAACACTTTATTTTACAGTGCCCTTGTTACATTTGTTGCATGTACTTGCTGTAGTAATTAGTAAATTATGCATAATTACATGCAACTACCCTAAACAAAACCCTATTCCTAACCCGTACCCTATAGTAAGTACATGTTGTTAATTGATATTATGCAAATGTTAATTAGACCTTAAAAATGACATTTAAGTCTAAAGTGTAACGAAAAAAGGGAATTATAGTGAAGAATTATGAACTTTAACCCTTGAATATTATGGTTAATTTGGATTAAAACCTAAACTTGTTGTTACAGAAAGATCAACAAGAGTTTCAGCCTTTTATATATATATATATATATATATATATATATATAATAATTTGTAACTACCTCAGTCAATAATGTCAAGTTTAACAGTCTGAAGTAAATACAGGTTGGGAATTTAAAAAAAAAAAAGTAGTTTGATTCCTTTTCCCTCTTTTTCCTAAAGATCTTCCTCTACGATTGCACCGAGGTGTCTCCGTTTTCATTGCTGTTCTTCGGAGGGGATATTTCCATCCAGAGGGACCAGGACCAAGAGACCATCGCTGTGGATGAGTGGATTGTATTTCAGTCCCCGGCGCGCATTGCTCACCTTGTCAAGGTTTGTGTTCATTTGTTTCATATGCCACATGTGACTTAACAGGGCACTCAGTGATAGTTTGCAATTATACTTCAAATTTATTCTTTAAATTTAGGAGCTGAGAAAGGAGCTGGATGTGCTTCTGGAAGAGAAGATAAAAAGTCCACATCCTGTGGACTGGAATGACCGGCAGTCTAAAGATTGTGCCGTCATCTCTGCCATAATCGACCTCATCACCACACAGGAAAGCCCTGCTGAAGATCCCAGGAGAGGCAGCCAGTGAGCACAACCACCAGCAGCTTGTGTATATCAATGACATTTAGCCGCTTATCAATACTTAAAAAGAAGTGACAAACATTAAAGATAATAACTTTTTTATTTTATTTTAACATTGGCTTGACTTGTATGCTTTCTTTACAGTGATTCATTAAATTTGCCATAATATAATCCATTTGTTTATGGAGATCTTTCATTCATAATCTCACATACACGTACATACAGGTCAAGTGAAAGTTTAAGGAATGCAATATACATACTCTTTAAATGAACATAAAAAGATCTTGAATATGAATCTATATACTGATTATTTCTATTGATTCGTTCACAAATTGAGTATATCTGATGCATGTTTACATTTTCCCTGAGAGTCAGTTATGAGAGTGAATAAGCGAGTGACCGTCTTTGTGCTGCTATAAAACTTTCCTTCATTTTAAATAGGGACTCCATGTCCACGAAATGTTACTTGTCAAGAAGTCACAAACAGTGAACCAGTGTTTGTGGAGGACAAAAAAAAAACACATTTTAAAATGATCCCTCAGTTTATAATCACAATAAATCAATGTTGGATAAAGCAGTGCGTATTTCCCCTTTTGAAGCAACTAAAGCAATTACTGCACTGTAGTGGTTCGAGTTCATCCACAGTTTTGTCATGTGCTGTGCGTTTCTCAGGAGATAATGTCTCAGACATTGGTCTCTAGGCTTTGCAGACGGTCCATCCGCTGCATGTTTTTCTCAATGGTTGCCTGACAGGTGATGAGTTCAGCACACTCAGCTAGGAACCAGCCCCTCTCTCCATCCCGCAGACGCTCTCCTTCATACCAGCCTGAAACCACAGACAGACATCAATTGAGATTCTGTGTTACACAAACCAGATACTGAACAAAGGAAAAATATTTGACTACAAATCAACTAAATCTGCTGTCGGAGCCATGGCTTAGCCAACCATAACATGAATGTGTCATTTCTTACAGAAGTTCCCCTTATTTCCTTTGGCGAAAAGAAGAGAGAAAGTGTGCAATACACTTTCTTTTATAAATAACGAAACAAAATTAGCTGTGGACCTCTTAAGTTTTAAGAGTCGGTGTCAATGTGATGAATTGAATTTGTGCTGAGATACCCACTTTGGTAACACTTTACGGTAAGGGTACATGAATTATCATGAATTCATGTATAAATTCATGCATCTCATGAATCATCAGGAACCAGCACGAGTTCAACGTTTTTCATTCATGACTTCATGGATGAACAACACCTTAATTAAAACATTAACTAATATGAGTACATCGCCATGAATTATGATTTATTTTGCATGATCATGATGTTTTGTTTTTTTTGTTCACAGTTAGGCCACACACATGATGAAATCATTGATAGATAATGCCTAGTTAATGATGACTTCTGTATTTGATTAACAGAATTTGTGTGCTATGAGCTGTGATTGGTCTATTTTGGGGTCTGTTCAATACAGTAGTCATCATTAACTAAGCATTATCTATCAATGATTTCATCATGTGTGTGGCCCCTCAACTAAAGTGGTGACTAGGTCCTTTGAAACACTGATGAACAATGTGCTCTTAAAAGTGGCATAACTTTGAACAAAGAAAACATCATGATCATGCGTAATAAATCATAATTCATGATGATGTACTCATCTTAGTTAATGTTTTAATTAAGGTGTTGTTCATCCATGAAGTCATGAATGAAAAACGTTGAACTCGTGTTGGTTCCTGATGATTCATTAGATATTAATGCATAATTCATGAATTAATTTATACATGAATTCAAGATAATTCATGTACCCTTACTGTAAAGTGTTACCAACACTTTTTTTCTACTTCAAATTTTGTATTGTGGCTAGCTTTTGGAAAGGATGAAATGTTCAAAAATAAAACAGCCTCCTTTCAACTGTCTTTTGTATATTTAATGGCCATTAAAAGATTCAAGGGGCCTTTGAAGCCCTATCCCATGAGCCCTGGCCTTTCAACATGAAAGCCAGCCAATGAGCAGAAGCCAGAGTGAGACCGTCGTTTGACCCTCTGACCAGCACCATCAAAACTGAGACCTTCAGCTGAGCCTCACATGAAAAGACATCCCTGTGGTTACAGGACTACTCGTTCTGGGAAAATAATCATTATCAGAACTGTTCTCCGGTAAGTAAGAGGTCAGATTTGGGGAGAAAATTTAGAAAATAGAATTAAGTACCAAATCTGAGCTTGAAGAAAGATTCTTTAAAGGTGCCATATGGAATAATTGTGATAAAATTATCCAAAAAATGAGCTACACGCATCAAAAGAATGAGAAGAAAAGAAGTGCAATGATGTCATTAAAAAACGGACAAGTTATAGTGCTGCCGAGATATAAACTTAAATTAGCATGCTAAATTACTAGCCCCGGCCCGGCAGGTGTCGTAATACCAGTTTCGGCCATGGGAGGCGGTATGCGGGCGGGCAACATAACCACCAGCCAAACTGCAACTGCTGTACACGAGTAAGCCGTGCCGGCTGGTGTGTGTGTGTGTGTACCTGTACTTGAACCTGATGTCAGTCGTGTGGAAAATACAGCCCACTACTAAATTTCAGTTCAGGGATGAGTTAAAAAAATGATTGGTCGATATTATGCATGAGGAACACATTTTGGTAAGTTGTAACATACTGTATCTTTCAACAGTGTTCATGTTCTTTTATCATTAGCTAGTAAAGATGATCGATTCACGTGCGCTAGGGATCTGTCGTGTTACATTTACAAGCGCCAAAACTGCATTTATTGTTTGAATTGCGTAATAAAAAATAACAGAATCTGAGATCGGTCTCCGTGTCCTTTTCTGTGCATGACAAAATGGATGTGTGGCGTGAGAGTGTGTAGTATCAGTTGTGTCTCACTGTGAATTTGTGAGAGTTGGCAGCTCTGAAAGGCGCTAGCTTGGTCCACATCAGGGAATGCTGTCTGTCAAATTAATTCAAACTAATGATAAAAATGTAACATGAACAAAATGAATTCTATAAACTAGAAATAATAGCCTGGGCTTTAATATTCCCATATCGTCGAAATGCACCGGCTCGTCTATGAGACGGCCTTTATAAATTAGTATTGAGATGTTGTTAATTTAGTCTCTAATCTCTAAAAATCTCCAAATGCTCCACTTGAAACTGCGGTCTTCCAACCTTTTACTATCGTGTCAATTTATTTGATTAATATGCGCGAGGGAGACAGAGCAACACAGCACGCGCCCGTGTTGTTTGAAGACATGAGTGCGCGTGGCCGCGGAGGTATTTCTGGAGGTATACTGCCTCCATCTGGTATGGAATATGGTGTATGATTTGATTTTTTATCCCAGAGGGCACCTTTAAAGCAGTGGTTCTCAACCTTTTTACCGCCAAACACACTATTTTGCTGAGTGACAGCAAATATTAGAGGAAGAATGCAGATCCGGCTTTCTTTCTCTGTACTCTTAGATTTGGTGTAGTCTTATCAACACATTCTCATCCCAAAAAGTCATATAACTGACGTTTTGGGACGACTTTTGACCATACGTCAATATCCGCCTTTTTAGGGCCCCCTTAAACGTCGGTAGATGGCGATCCCGGGCCGTCATACAACTGACGCTTTACCTTTAACGTCAGTTAGGTGACGGGTTAGGTTTAGGTCTGGGGTAGAGTTAGGATCCCATAACCTCATCTACCGACGTTTAAGGGGGCCCTAAAAAGGCGAATATTGACGTATGGTCAAAAGACGTCCCAAAACGTCAGTTATATGACTTTTTGGGGTGAGACTGCGCTGGTCTTATAAACATCATAGTAAATTTAAAAAATCTGAACCGCTGTTTGAAAACACATACATTTGTTTGATGTTTCTTCTCTTTGCAGTATCAGAAATGAAAAGTTGTGCAAGTTGCTCCCCTTGTGTGTTTTTTATTACTACATTTTGAACAATAAACACAACGACAAATATCGGTTATAGCAAATCAAACATCAGAATATACATTTAATGTATATAAATGGATTGCATTGTACACTGTCCTTGTGTACTGCTGTATTTCTACTTTTCCGTAAGTGCCACCCACTCTCAAGAGTTAGAATTGCATTTTCATATAGTCTTTTTAATATTATTCTTTCGCATGGATTTAAACAGACATATTGAATGCCAAAATCAGACTGATTTGATCGTTTTGGTGTGAAGAATGAGAGGAATGGAGGGGGCTGATCTCACCATCCACTATCTGTGACAGCAACACCACATCAGCGACCTGTAGAGAGAGCTCATCCGGCTGCCCGGCTGTGTACGTCCTCGTCACCTCCACCTGCATGGCGTCTAACAGAAAAGTGCATACATTTATCACTTTAGCAAAAATAAAGTGAAACTATGATAATCTATTGCCTAAATATTCTTTCCTCACTGTAATTTTCACAAAGCAGCAGATTTAAGGCATCGTTCATGAAAAACACAGTTTAGTAATAGTAACAGCGATTGTTGACTTGATTAGCTGTAGCCGATTTGTGTCACTGTAATACTCTCCATGGCCAGAGGGTGACACTGTTTCACTGAGGCTGGTTATAACTCTCTATGGCCAGAGGGTGTTTCGCTGAGGCTGGTTATACTCACTCATTCTGTCTTTCTTGTTGTCACTCTTGTTCCGTCCCAGAGCACTGATCCACCGGGCTCTCTCATTACTGTCACCAAAAAAAAACAAAAACACACCATGATTAACTGATAACCACTGAAGCAGTTTTTAAAATTATTTTTTATGTGGTCTTATCTGGTCAAAATTAATCCAATTGTGAAAACCAAACAACTTTCTTTTTCACATTCCTTTATTGTCCTGGACCATTCAAAGACACACACCCCCAGACTCGGGTGCAACAGCAGATAAGGTTACTTGGAGAAACCTGACATCGGTGCTGAAGCATTCATTACATTCAGTACAAGAAGCATCTGTTCGCTCTTGTGAGCTCTTTTGTGTTTGTTCAGTTTCAGTGTAAACATTCAGCCATATGAAAGAAAGAAAGGCGATGCCATCATTTTTTCCTCTTTCAATCCTTGCATGATTCAATTCTGATTTGAGCTGTGACGTACAGTCAAATTCAGCACAAATATCCCACAATAAACATTATTATATTAACAGAGCAGAAAGACACAAGGGGGTCATCTCTCAGAAACTACTCCTTTGTTTAATGAGATTTGCTATTTTGCTATACGTTGTGAGGAGGAAAATACAGAAAACCAGGGAAACATTTTCAGAGCTGACCTGCATTCAAGCTCCTAAAGTGAGTCAGCCAGGCCGTGGGATGTTTAGCATAACTGCAGCGCACACAGACGCCAGTCCCATATCACAAACTGAGCTGACCATCTGCATGAGTCATGTTTGACTCATTCTGGTCCCGTTTACAGCTAAAGGGGTCACAAAGGCCTCTCTCCTGTTCCATTACCAGGAATCTTTTTTTTAAGTATATTTTATTGTACACCAATCATACAAAATATACGCAATGTTAAACAGTACTGATAAATATGAAACAGTGCTAACATTTTTTTTGTTTTTTTCTCCCCCTAAAATAATAGTAATACAAAAATAAATAAATAAATACAATTATTTAAAAAAAATAAAATAAAAATAAAACAACCTCTTGGGTACGTGCTTAATTACACTGTAGATCCAGAGGGCATAAACATTTCACCATTAACAGGAATCTTAATGAGCGTGATTGTGGAGTGATTCATTCATTGACTAATTAGTGTTTATAGAGTAATTAGTGTTTAGTAGAGTCACTGACAAAGAACATGGGAAATCTTATATAATAATCTTATATAAATCTTAGCATAATTAAAATATTATATATATATATATATATATATATATATTATTTATAATATTATACTGTGTATAATATTATAAATATTACAAATATAAATAAAATATTATACCACACTAATACTGTGTTTGACCCCCTTTTCGCAAACAAACATAAATAATCAATATGTGCCTGAATTGTTACAATGAGGCAACGACACATGATCACCCAAGCAAAGACATCACACACTCATTGTGCATGTTCAAATATTAAATGTGTAATGCAAACTATGAGCAGGTTTGTTGTGCTGAACCCGTTTCCCTCGGCCGCTTGTGTAGTTAGCATGAGAAGGGCAGCAGTCAATTCACATCCTTGGAATCTGAGCACACATGAAAACGCCTTCACGCTGCTCTGAATTACACCAGCTGAATTACTCATCTTACACCTAGACACAGTGTTACACATTCCCTGAATACATAACATTTTTTAAATGATTTGAAAAGTCCTGCATGAATAACATTTCGATAAAACCTTTCAAGGTCAAACCTTTTTTTTTAGATGACACCAATGCATTTAGAAAATAGATGGGGTGAATTTTTTATTTCATGCAGAACTAAGCAACTCTGATCTAGCAAACTATATTGGCAAACACCAGAGAGGCCGGCAGCACCAGGAAGACCTCACATCTCCCACTGTCTGGTCTCCTGCACTGCTTCAACATGCTCCAACATGCTTCCTACAGCTGAGGGCCAACATTCCAGGCCTATCACCTTTAAAGGTTATTTTACATGAGGTGAAAAGTTAAAAAGGCACCCAAGCACCAGTAGATGGTAGGTTTGAAAGTAAATATCAAAACTGAAAACAGAGCGAAGGAAAACATGAAGATGAATGAGGCATCTTCACGAAATATTTCTACATTTGGCGTTTTTCATATTAAAGGAACACTCCGACTTTTTGGGACTTTAGCCTATTCACCTTACCCCCCAGAGTTAGATAAGTCCATACATACCTTTTTCATCTCCGTGCGTGCTATAAGTCTGTTTGACGCACCCACCGCGAGCTTAGCTTAGCACAAAGACTTGATGTAAATGGTTGCAGCTAGCATACTAATCCAAATGAGTGACAAAATAACTCAAATGTTTTTTTCTATTTACATGTTGTACTTTGTAAACAAAAAACAAAGTCAAATGAGACACAGACATCTTTTAAATGTATAAATACTGGGAACTATATTCTCTGAAGGCGAAGCACTGCTACTTTGGCGGGGTGATAACCGAATCACCTGAGACACGCCGTGAGGAGCAGAGAGTTTGTTCAGAGTTTGGGTAACAGAGTCAGCAATTTATAAATAGTAAAAGCGTAGTTTACAGTCATGGGTTTTCGCTGTATTGTAAATAGCTGCGACAATAAACAGGGGAGGTAATACCATGATGTTACACAGAATTCCAACTAAAAACGCTGACCAGATGAAAAAATGGCTACTTGCTCTGGATATTTATCCAAACACATCTAAAGAGATTATCAAGGGACATTATGTTTGCTCGGTACATTTCAATGAGGACGACTATTTTGAAAAAATGGAATTTGCCACATGGACCATAAACGTGTGCTGAAGGATACGGCTAAGTTATCCCATCGATAGCACAGACAGGACAAGTGGATCACCTGCGGCTGAGGTAAGTGTTCCGTTATGTTTTTAGATGACCTACTGTAACAGTGCCATTAGCCAGATCTAATGTAACGTTACTGACACTATTATATGAATAGGGTATGAATATGTTTTTATCTTGATGCGGCACTGCTTGGAAAAAATGTTTATTTCAAAAATATTTAAAATAACGAACTTGAGCGTGCAAAAGACGCGATATGTGAGCAGGCCCTAATGTTAGTCTTGTTTTATCACGAATGCGCTCTATCGCGCCAGTAACAAATGAGCGGAGCTGTAAACTCAGGACTGTAGCCTTCACCTTGCTAATGAATCTGAGGTTTTTTTTGTTTTTTTGTTTTTTTGAGAGACAGTGACCTTGTCCAGTACGGGTACATTAGGCTGTGTGTTCATTGTGCAAAAACAATTTGCCTTGTGCTATTACTTTCCCCTTATTCTAGCATATTGTAATGCAATTATACTGTATTATATGCTGTTGAATACATTTGGTTCAGTTAATAAATTGCATTTAAAATATATCGATTCCTGTAATAATAATTCTTTATTCATGTTCTGTGATATTTATAAATCAGGATGCGTTTTTGGTTGGAATTCAATGAAACATCATGGTATTACCTGGTCTCCCCTGTTTATTGTCACAGCTCATACAGTAAAGCGAACACAAATGATAAACTATTCTTTTCTATCTAGTAATTGCTGATTCTATAACTCCAACTCTGAGCGAATTCTCTGCTCCTCTTCACGGTGCGTCTCAGGTGATGTGGGTATCACTCCGCCCAAGTAGCCGTGCTTCGACTTCAGAAAATATAGTTCCCAGTATTTATGCGGCTAAAAGATGTCTGTCTCATATGGCCTTGTTATTTGTACAGTCTGTGACTATACAAATCACAACATCAGGCATGTGATTGGCTAAGGACTAAAAAGCAGGAAAATATACCGAGCCCCCCCCCGATCGATATATATCCCAATATCTTTTCCGCAAAGGGAGAGCAAATGTTCAATCAAAGTCAAATATAGTCTTCACTGTATAAATTATACATTGATTCTTATTAAAGCTACTATTAAAGTTCTCAGTCAAGAGCAGTGAGTGATTTCCTCTGTGTTTTGTTGTTTAATTAACATTAAATAGATCTCCCAAAAATTGTAATTGTCATCATTTACTCTCTCAAGTTGTTTTAAACCTGAATAAGTTTCTTTCTTCTGTTTAAGTTATTTGGAAGAATGTGGGTAACCAAACAGTTGATGTACCCCAATGATTTCCATAGTATTTTTTTCCCTATGGAGGTCAATGGGGACCAGCAACTGTCTGGTTACCCACATTCTTCAAAATATCTTCTTTTTTGTTCAGCACAAAAAATAAATTAATACAGGTTTGTAACAACATTACAGTGAATTTATAATGACATAATTTTTTTTATTTTGTGGTCAACTATCCCTTTAAGAACAAGCGGCTGCATTTTTATTATTAGGGCTACTGTCACTTTAAGACCTGTACGCGACACGTCTAATATACACTGAGCATTTGACAAGCAGATTTCTCTCAATTTTCTCGGTTTGCTTTGAGTTTAGACATAACCAAATGTTCTTATGTAAACCTTGTGTGTATTTGAGAGTATTAGCGAAATAATACTCGAAAGATAACTTAGTCCAGCAACCAGGCGCTGTTAGACAAGCTTTAGTACATGTGCACGTCGGGTGTTCGCGCTCAGAACAGCGCATCAGCAGTGAATGACATGTTTAACCGGCAAGGCTTTAAAGCACTAGCCTGGTTCAACCAGACTCTAGTTCATTAAAATGAAATTGAGCGGAAGTGCGTAGGAGGGCGCAGCCAGGCTATTAAACCACATGCAAATTAACTTTTGTGAACTCGCTGAACTGATGTAGCCGTTCCTCTGCGTTAATATTGCGAGTATTTGTCGCGTTGTTCACTATGCTGTTAAGATGGAGGTGTCAGGACTGCAACTGACAGAATGCACGATATAGCTGCTACATATTTCTACAAAAGCAGTCAGCAGCTTGCTTGGAGCAAGGATCATAGCGCAAATTTGAAATATATCGATTTATCGCCCAGCCCTGGTGACCTAACTGTGATGTTCTTGTCAACTGACAACGATACCAGCGCGAGACGAGAGCGACTGAGATAAGAAATTGAGCAGGTGAACAAGCTGAACCAATTAGACATTCTCTGGCTGAACGCAAATACGTCCTTGTTGATACT